ACCAAGGGCTCAAGTAGAAAATGTTTTGGAAATGATGACAACATATGTACAAATATGCTTGATACAATTGATGTATGGAATGTTCTAAGAGCTGTAAAAGCCCCCAATAAAGTGATAGAAATATGTATAAAAAATAAAATAAAACAAAAGAAAGAAACAGCAGCATTTTGAATGTGATAGGGTATCTGAACAAGGCAGCTGCCACTGGTTAAATACCACGTGGCCCCAGATGGACAGGAAACAAGATTCTGAATTACTAATATCCTCTGTATATCATCCAGGGAATGGAAGTAAATACATGCCTGTGAGACATCAGAGCCATAAATTCACACATCCAACCAACATTTATGAAGCCTCTTCTGTGCACCAAGGGCTGGTAAATAAGGTACGGAGGTTTGAAAAACGGGCAACTGCCACTTCTTTCAGCTAATTATTCCCAAGAAGAGCTAACGCTGCATCATACAATTACCCACAAAAGATAGCTATTAGACAATCTCCCTAAGGAATAAATTTGACTCAGAGTACATATACCATTTTTAGAGCCAGAAAAAGAGTTGGATTATTCCAGTTCAGAGGGTCAACACACATTTCACTTTAATTGATTTCACGAGTAAAGACATAGACAGATAATTGGACTTGTTGAGAGGAGGAGCTTGTTATTTTTAGGGGCTGCCGAATTGACTTTTGACTCATAGCCACGCCATGCGCTAGCACCCAGAAAAACACCTCTGGAGGATTACTTAAAAAGCCTCCCATTGCATTCAGAAACTATAAATAGCAAAGTGAATTTTGAAAAAAGAACCGGGCTTCTTTTCTGCCAGCGCCCCTCAGTGGCCGAGTCCGGAATGACCTTTTGTGTAGAATTAAATCTGCAGGAAGGCAGTAAAGATGAGTACTTACCTAATGGCCTCTTGGATGGTAATCATAATGCCACCGTGATTGGCAGCTCTAAACCGACACAGAGAATGGAGAGAGGGCACACGTTTGTCCAACCCTGCAAATCCTTTCAGGCTGGCAACTGCCTTCTTCTTTTCCAGGTTCTTCAGAGTCCACAATAGAATCTCTTGGCAAAGTGACCTGGCAGAAAAGCTGTTATGAATGAGCCTGTCATTTTACTCGACACATCTTACTAAGGAACATAAAAAAGGAAAGAAAGACTGTGAGCTCCACTGTGTTCTAGATGCTGGCCCTCCGCGAATTAGGCAAACATCCTGCCATTCCACCAGGGACTGACTACCACCCCTTGGCTCCACAGGTAACTCTGATCTGTCACAAGAGCACCTCATTTTTGAAACTTTATTGTATGTTTTAGTCATTTCAATATTGAAAAGCACACTCTGGAAAGTGCCTTTGACTCGTGCAGTGATCCACTGCGTCCGCTGATAAAAACCATCTATCACCAGTGTGACCCAGTGCTGGTGACCAGAAAACAGTCTATTGAACACACTACGCAGGCTCCTCAGCCTCTTTCATCCGTGCCAGTCAACCAAGAGAGGGCCAAAATCAGTCTTGGCTTCTTCCTGCTTAGGCCCGATTGTGCTATGAGAACTCTGGACTCAAAACTAAAACTAAAGTTACACAACACACAGACCATTCTCTGAAGCCAAATGCGGATATTTAGAGCGTCCATCTCCCTCTCACTGGATTCTCTCCTGACTGCCCTTCTGGCCGTGTTGACCAAACATAAGAGAAACAAAGACAGGATGTAAGCTCTGAGCGATATGCAAGACCAAGTATTTTCCTACATCGCTTAACAAGAATGAGGATGACAGCTATGATTTATTGGGCTTACTCTCTATCAAAGAATGTGCTAATAAGCATTTACCATTACATAATTAAGGAGCCCTGAGCCCTGTTGGCATAGTGGATTATGAGTTAGGCTGCTAACTACAAGGTTGGTGGTTTAAACCCACCAGCCACTTCTTAAGAGAAAGAGGCTTTCTGCTTCCACAAAGATTTATAGCCACTAGGGCTATAAGTACTCTGTCCTTTAGGGTTGCTATGAGTTGGCATTGACTCGATGGCAGTGGTTTTTAAAAAATTATTATTATTACATAAGTAAAACACATCCAGTCTTCAGAATAACCCTGTGAAGAAAGTGCTATTACTGTAGCTCAGATTCTATCTGAGGGTTTCCAAATGCCAAAGAAAAAGAAAAACTCAATATTCTGGAGGACTTTAAGAATATGATTTTTAGCAGAAGGGAGAAATAACAAAAATGGCTGTAAATACAGAGCTCATACAAAATGGGTCCCACTTAAATTCCAACACATGAGATTATTTTCTGGATGACTAAGAATCCCTTCTTTCTAACCGCTCTGTATCACCAGCACCAAATCCCGGTCTCAATTACAGACCACGCCTCACCCAGACCCGGGTTCCGGAGCTGGTTTTCTAACTCCCCACAGGTATTAGGATCCATTGCCTACTTCCTTCTTCTAGACATGTGACGCCCGCCGGTATTCCTCACTGATTAAACAGTGCATGCTTATACATGTAAGCAGAGATTCTATTTCTCATGTCTGCCTGAAGCTGAGGCAAGTGGTCCTAAAAGTGATATCCAATCCCCCGTGCTCTAGAAAATGCTGTTTGTTTTCTAGTTGAGGAAAAAAAAGGGATCCCCAAATGTAACAATGACAGAATGACCTAAGTTTTATAGTCAAAATAAGCATTAGAACAATGTGCAGATGGGACTTCACCACTTATAGATCAGTACAGTTCTCTTGGTCCTTTACCTTATGTGAGACACGCTCTGCTTGGTGAAACAGTAGAGAGAAAAGAGCACTCCCAGGACGGGAAGGAGGGAATCCAGCAAGACGGTCAGAGGTTCATTCCCGACCACGTACACCTGGGGAAAAGGAAATGGTGAGACATGCTGGGGCCACAAGGCTGAGAGTCTTTATCTCGAGCAGCACTCCAGTCCTGAGGTGAACAAGTTGAGCTCTAAGGCTTTGCTCAGAGACAGTGATGAAACCATCGAGACTGGCAGGCTGGAACAGAGGGAGCAGTAGTCTCCTTGTATGTACCGCCTCAAGGACTGCTGGGTTAAATGGGTAAATTCATTCATTTTCTGACTTCTTCCATTCCTATTTGTGACTGCCTCTATGTCTCCTCATCTGCTTATTGTTCCTCTGCACAATAACTACCCTACTGCTGAAGGGCCTCCTATTATAAACAAATAATTACTGCTGAGTTAAAAAAACAAACAAACCAGAAAAACATAAAAACTAAACTTAAATAAACAAAAACACAGCTTGTTCTAATTTGTTCATCTTAAGAATGTAGCTGTCACATGGGCATGTCCTATTGGCTTCGAGTCAATAGATGTCCACAGAAATTGCTCTCTGCATCTAGATCTCATGGGCTTCACAGGCTTATGTCAGAGGATGCTTAACGATAGTTGTCTTTTACAGAACACACACTCATTCAAAGTACTGTCCTAGGCACTCCAGTAAATAGAAAAATGGATGAGTCCCTGTTCCTCAGATCTAACAGGAGAGTTAAATCAATCAACCAATCAGAGAAATTATAGTCCAAGGCACAGCAGTTAAAATAGCTTAAGAAACACAAGATGCTGTTCAAAATGCCCAACACAAAAGAGAATTTCAAAGTATAATTCTGTTTTGAAACCTGAGCGTGTGGACAGTGACATAGATGATTAAAAGAAGTGGAATGGAACTAGAGGAAGGTTGTGAGTTTCATTATTGCTACACTGAACCCTGAGTGACTCATCTCCTCCCCACTACCCCTCTGCAAGGGATGTCCAGTTGTCTACAGATGGGCATTGGGCCCCCATATCATGATCCCAATTCTACCTTGCAAACCTGGTTAGACCAGAGGATGCACAGCGCTACAGATGGGAACTGGAAACACAGGGAATCCAGGACAGATGAACCCCTCAGGACCAGTGGTGAGAGTGGCGATACCAGGCGGGTGGAGGGAGGGTGGGTTGGAAAGGGGGAACCGATCACAAGGATCTACATATAACCTCCTCCCTGTGGGATGGGAACAGAAAAGTGGGTGAAGGGAGATGCCGGGCAGTGTAAGATAAGATAAAATAATAATTTATAAATTATCAAGGGTTCATGAGGGAGGGGGGAGTGTGAGGGAAGGGGAGGGGAAAAAGGAAAATGAGGAGCTGATTCCAGGAACCCAGAAAGCGAGTTTTGAGAATGATGAGGGCAACGAATGTTTAAGTGTGCTTTACACAATTGATGAATGTACGGATTGTGATAAGAGTTGTATGAGCCCCAATAAAATGATTTTTTAAAAAAAGAAGAAGAAGTGGAATGGAAGATGGTTATGCTCTTCATATGTGTTCCAGGAACTCTGCTAGGTTTTTACCATCCAGGTACGAAGTTCAATCTTTTTCCAAGTTAGTTCATTAAAACCATTAATGATCCAGAAAAGGAGGTCTTGGCAGCCCTACTTAAAGATCACCCACTGATTCCGACTGATAGTGACTTTGTAGGGCAGGGCAGACCTGCCCCATAGGGTTCCCAAGGCTGTGATTGTTTACAGAAGCAGATTGCCACAGCTTTCCCCCACAGAGCACCGAGCAGCTGGCGGGGTGCCACCTGACCCAGAGCACTGCTTTTCATAGGCATGTGAAAGCTGGACAATGGATACGAAGACCAGAGAGAACTGGTCGCTTGAAGTACGGTGTTGCTCAAGAATACTGAATATACCAGACTGCCCAAAGACAAACAACCCTGTCTTGGAAGAAGGACAGTCAGGATGCTCCTTAGATGACAACAATGTGCCTCTGGATGTGCTCTCCGGAGGGACTCGTCCCCGGAGAAAGATATCTCGGTTGGTAAAGTAGAAGGTCAACAAAAAAAGAGGAAGACACTCAATGCGATAGATTGATTGACACAGTGGCTGCCACACTGGCTCACACATGGCAATGATTGTGAAGAAGGCATGGGACTAGGGAGGGTTTTATTCTGTGGTACACAGGGGTCATTATGAGTCAGGACTAATTCAACGGCACACAGCCCCACTTTAAAGAAGAAAAAGAGAGAAGCGTCAAGAGGCCATTCTGTATTGAAAAATTAAGGTAAGGATCACTTCTGTTTAAAGATCTTCTGTTAAAACTGACGATCATGGAAACACTAGTAAAAGCTGGGAAAATCTCTTTTGTTTTCCCAGGTCTTGTCCCTTTAAATCCACCCTCGTTTTGCATAGTCTCTTAGCATCCCCAGCTCCTCTGCCAAGCCTGATAACTAAGGAGCCAGTTTCCTGTGCATGATCTAATCTCCATAAGCCCAGTTAAATGCAGGGCATTGTATGGCGGTGTTCAGAAGTAATATGCAGCCCTAATTATGGTATCCTCAATTATAGGAGGAAAAGAGCGAGATCCACCAGATAATGTCAGGGCCTATTGTTTGGCTTTGGGTCCTCCGTTCCCAGACATGATCCCTGGGCAGTCGTCCTTCTTCACCATCCTCTTTCGAAGGTAAAACAAAAAGTAGAGTTGGAGTGAAATTCCCATGCTGAACTGACTTGAGCACTTCAAAACTTAACACACACTAAGTGGAGCACATTTCTTAGTAGTATGTATGTGCTGTAAAGACGAGTCCTCCAATTTTTATTCCGTTCTCTTTTTTAAAATTATTCTGTTTTTTAATATTTTTCTGTACTTCCTTATAAGGAGCATTACTTTGTATTTAGAAAAAGTATGCTTATTATTTATGCATGATATTATTTACTTAGATATAAATATACTGATTGGATGAAAGCAGCCATGTTATCTAATAGCACTGGGTATTGGGTAAGGAGCTTTAACGAATGGAGTTAAGACAGTAAGGTTTCCACAGTCCACTGTGAGGCACCAGTCCTCCTTTCCATGCTTGAAAATAGGCAAAATTGAACTGTTAAATGAAGAAATAGTAGGGATGGTATCATTTTCCAGAGGCAAATAATAACTTCCACTTACTGAATGTCTAAGGAGCCCTGGGTTACAAATTTGTAATGAGTTACAAATCAGGCTGCTAACTGCAAGGTCAGCAGTTCAAACCCACCAGTCCCTCCACGAGAGAAAGATGAGGCTCTCTATTCCTGTAAAGATGTACAGCCTCGGAACCCCCAAAGGAGCAGTTCTACTCTGTCTGATAGTGTTGCCGTGCGTCAGAATCAACTCAATGGCAGTGAGTTGGATGAGGTTGTCTACTTAAGAATAAGCCAAATATCCAGCTAAACATTTAGCGTGTAACCACTCCTTACATCAGCTCTGCAAGATAAGTGGCTTTATTCCCATTCTACCAATGTGGAAAACTGAGGCTCAGAAAAGCAAAGACACAATGCACTATAGGAAAGCCAGAATGAACTGAGATCTGCCAGAAAAGTCATGCACAATCCACAGATACAGAACTCGTCAGGGCCTAGAAGGAGAGAAGAGTGAGGATCGCTTAATAGGCAAAGCCTTCCATTTGGAGTACAGAAAATGTTTTGGAGATTTGCAACACTGGAAATGCTATGTTACATATATTTTACCACACACACAAGAAAACCTTATACCCCTTCGCATCCCAATATTCACCTTCCCTGGTACATAGTTTTTAATCGCTTCAGTCCCTAACCCACACCAATGTTAGCCCAACTGTCCAGACTCTCAGAATCAGTAAATTCCGGGTTTCGGGATGTTAGGAACCCCAGCCCTGCAACCTCTGCAAAACAGGGTTGACGTTTCTAGATGGCACCATGGACAGCAGCTTTGGTAACACTGCTTCTTCCTCCTCCTGAGAATCTTCTAGAGTCTTGATGGCATAGTGGTGACTTGCTTGGCTGGCAAGTAGAAGGTCGGCCATCCACATTCACCAGCTGTTCTGGTGGACGACAGCTATGGCCGCTCTGCTTCCTTAGAGAAACTGCACGGTCTATTGCATGGCTTTGAGTCGCTCTGAGTTGGAATTGACTCCACAAATACAGGTTTTGATTTTGTTCTTGACCACCTCTCCTGGGAGATCTCCAAGGTCAGGCCTTGCCCTTTCCAAGGCAGATTTCTCTCCTTTCAATCTCTTACCCCTCACTAAACTCCTGCGTAGTTAATGGCTTGCTCTGCACCTGGCTGCTAGCAGGACCCTCTATTTACACTCTACAGAAGGGATGTGGCCATTTCCCCTTGCACATGGTCTCCCCAGATCAAGAACTCGTATCTGCAGTTTAGTGACCCCTACGAGAACATGAGAGACCAGACTCATAGAGTCAATGCTGCACTGGGATATCTAGGTGTCAGCAATGACAATGATTCAATGCCCTAGAAAGAAAATTAAAATTCCTTCCATTGAAGTCATACTTATATACAGAGAAAACTGTTTAGGCAAGTACCTTCTAGACTTTTCCACACTATGCTGGTGACAACACCAATGAAGACATAAAAGACAAGCAGTTCCTGTCCCACTACCAGGAGAGTCTTAGTGCCGAGGCCTCTATGCCTTGACATCTGGGTGTTGTGGAATTTCCTTAAGCTGTGCTTACGTGAAGTCCCTTTCTAGTTGGGAATGTTTCCTGGTCCCCTTGTGAGAAGACTGGGGAGAAACAACAGACAAAGTGGGTTGGGAATCCAAACTCTGAAACGTAATTATATGTTAAAAGGATATGTTAACGTAATTATATACTAACATAATTATATGGAACATAAGTATTAAAAATAAACTCCATATGTTACTTCTACCTGGGGTAAAAAAAATTCGACTGACTGCATACAGCAGGCAAAGTCATGAAAACTTCTTGGAAATAACCAAACACCTAGAGGGAATGAGTCACTGAGCCTGGTGGCTCAGAACCATGGTCTTAAGGAACACCAAACTGGTATGACATAGTCTACAAAGACATTTTTCTACAACC